ATAGAGTAGAGATTGGGTTTGATTTGAAAATTATGCTCTCATGGATTGGCCCCTAAAGTCAACTCAGCTCTCATGGAAACTTAATTTGTAGTGCTGTAACGTCGTTTGCCTGAAGTGCCTGATGCCTGATGTGCAGTCACTCCCGATTCTTGTTATCTAACATGTTGATTTTGTTGCTCATCTTTAGGGCAGTAGCGTCCTATGCCTGAAGTGCCTGATGTTTCGTTGTATTTACTTGGCATGGAACTTGTTATTTGTAGCGCTGATATGTTTTTTTGTACTAGTTCTTGCACTATTTAGTCATCACCTTTTGAAAAACTTTAATGGAACTATGGAAGTATTTAGTTACAACTTTCATTTGGCTTCGCAGTACGGAACTCTACACCATTTTCTATTAAATGCCTTTGCAATTTTCTTTTCATTTTCATCGCATAGTTTTCCCTGAGCTCAACAATTGACAGTAGAATCTACTTTTGAATAATGAAGGTACGGTGAGACATTAACTCAACCCCCATTCAACATTCTTCTCACTAATGAACACAGATTCTCCTTCAGTCGCCACAACCTCCTCCTCGACAACCACCACCACCACCACCATCACCATGAGTGGCATGATCACTAGCTGTTGTGGCCAAAGCAACACCAGCTCCTGCCTTCTCAGTTGGTATAACTATTTGACTATGCAAGACATGGATAACATACAAGATATCACACAAAGGATACACGAATTCAGATTTGAAGCTTTTCCTCAGGAAATCATACAAGACATCCTATGTAGGCTACCCGTTAAATCTTTGATCCATTGCACTTCAGTGTGCAAGACATGGATGTCAATGATCATGAACCAAAGCTTTATCCGCCACCACTTCAACCTAACAGTCGATTTTGCTAACCAAAATGACATTGACCTCCTCCTTCCACCACCAAATTTTTGGTGAAGGCAGCACCTACCACCCCAACACGTACATTTGCGAGGTAAACGACGAGGTTCACTCTGTGCATTATGATAACCAGGCTTTTGATGTCTACCCCAAGATAGAATTTCCAATTGCTCCAAACCAAAAACTACTCAATCCACATCTCTGTAGGCGCCACGTGTCAAAAGAGTAAAGCCAAGCGCCTATACTATTTTTCCACAAAAAAAAAAAGAAAGGAAAACACCGAGTATAGCCGTCCGGCTATATTTTTTAAAAAAAATAAATAAAAATCCGAGTATAGCCGCGCTGCTGTACTATTTTGGCACATTACAACTTAAAAGTTCAGCCACTATATTATATTTTAATATAAAATTTTAAATATATATTATTTTTATTTAATAATGTGTGAGAATTTTGTGTATAATACTTGAATGTTGTGTCTTGTTGAAATTTTTATAAAAAATACGTGTATATAAACACAAAAAATACGTACGTACATATATAACACGAGTATTGTACGTTTGCTTTTCAAAGATTTGGGCCTTAGGGCTCTTGGGCTATGGAGAAATCTAATTAAGACACTCAAACAAAATAAGTAATTTGAACTTCAAGTACTTATTATTTATTAAGTCATTTGTGAAATCAGAAATATATTTAAATATTCATTAATGAAATAATAATTAAAACATAATTACTAATTAAACTATGGCCAAATTGAGCCAGTAGATGAGCCACTTAGTTCCCTTTCCGCGGCTGGTAGATCACTTCCAACACCTCACAACTCACCAACAATCAGCGTACATCTTCCACAACGTTCCCTAAATTGGTTCACCACTCCCCCCGCCCCTGCAATATGGTCATAGCCTGCTGTGAATCAGAGGCAACAGTAAATCTAGAGAAACCAGCTGCTGACATCGACCTGAGACCCTCCCGAATTGCAGCCAGTTCAGTACCCAGAACCTCCAGCCCACACGGCTCATCTCCAGCAAAACTACAACGAAAGAACCCATTGTAATCACAAAGACAAACCCCCACACCTCTGGCTCGTCCACCCTTGCTAACAGCCCCATCACAGTTGAGGATAAAGGAATTTGCAGGTGGCTTGATCCAGCGAGCGTGACGGCGTACACGCACAACCACCGGCTTAGCATTAGGCTTTAAAAGCAGCGTGCCACTCCAGTGCTTTCTCTACCCGCAGCTCCAGGTTCCACGAGTTTCCCGTGCACAACTTCATTTCGCATATGCCATACATTCCATGGACAGACAACAAATTGCTCCACCTCAACACAAGAAAAATTCTGAAAGGCAAGCTATAAACAATCGGCAAAACTGCCACCAGTAACCGAAAGCTTATGGAGAAAAGGAGAACATCGCCAAAACTTCCTACTACACTTACGGACCGTAGAGCTTGCATCGTATCTTCACAAGAGAGGCCACAGCGCAAACAGCTGGGAGTCTGTAGCAGCTTCCTTAGAAATAAATTTTAGGCAGTTGGTAAAATATCGCAGCAAGCCTTCCACAGCATAATCTTGATCTTATTAGAAATATCCAAGCTCCATAACCGCTGCCAAAATACAGATTGGGTCCTAGGGTTGGAAACACCAACACCAGCACTACACGGATCCTCACATAACCGTATGGCCACATGATAGCCTGATTTGACTGTATACTTCCCATTCTTTGTAAAAAAAACCAAAACTGACCATCATCCAACTGGACCACTGATCCCAGAGCAATGGATTAAACCGCTTCACAATCCTCCTCATTCAAAGCTTGTTCGAGCATCGGTAAATCCCACCCTCCTGATGGCGTAATCAAGTCAGCCACCAATGCTTCCCCATTTAAACCTTTATTCAACAAAGTTCTGAAAGTGTTTGGTTTAGGTATCCACTTATCCTGGAACACCCGAATCGAAGCACCATTCCCCACTCTCCAAACGAGCCCCTCCTCAACAACTTCATGTCCCCAAAGAATGCCACACTAAGGATGGAGAGGATCCCAACGTAGCATTTAGTAAATTGACATGAGGGAAATATCTAGCCTTCAATATGCGAGCCACCAGTGAACTAGGATTTTTCCATCAAGTTCCAAGGCTACTTCGCCACCATTGCCTTATTAAAAGCCTCAAAATTCTTAAAACCCAACCCCCCCATACATTTAGGTTGATAGAGCTTACGCCAACAAAGCCAATGAATAACCTTCTCCCCCGCTTTCCCCCACCAGTAATGTGCGATCATAGCTAAAATATCAGGGCGTAACTGAGTAGGCAATTGGAAAATGCCCGTAGCATAAGTAGGTAAGGTCTGGCCCACGACCTTAATTAGAACTTGTTTACCCGCCGCAGATAATAACTTCCCATTCCAGGCATTGAGTTTCTTCCAAAGCATTTCACGAACATGGATAAACAACTTCGTCTTGTTTCTTCTAGTCATAGTCGGCAAGCCTAAGTACCGTTCATGGCAATCCACAATCCGTACTCCAAGCATAGCAGAGATCAATTGCTTCATAATCAGATCGATGTTCGGACTAAACGCAGCTGCCGATTTTTCACAATTTATCCTCTGACCGGAAGCACGTTCATACAACCCCAATTGACTTATTCACTAATCCAAAAACAAAAACCAAAAAAAAAACAAAAAGAGGAGAGGGGAGGAGGTGCAGTAGCGCTTCTTCCTCCTCCCTCTCTATTGAATTAACTCAGAGAGACAATGGCTAGTTACTTTTAGTACTCAAACTAACTTTACCTCAACATATTATGTAGTGCATGTCGTGCAAAGATTAGTTTTCGTTTTGATGAAAATGCAAAGATTAACTAATTACCTTCACCACCGAAATACAAAATTAAGATAACACCAAATGATAATTTTAGCTCCTGTAATTTGTTACGAGTTTACCTTTTGTCATTGTAGATCCAATTTGGGCGATAGTAGCCAAGTACTTTCTAGATGTTGTAAGTTGAAGGACAACTTTAGAATTTTGTGTTTTTTCAGTTATATGGACCAATTTTCCGTTACTACAAAATAGATGAAACTTCGAAAGAAAAAAAGACTAGATGGGAGCCAAAAATTATCCTCGACTTTGATCATAGGCAAACGGTTATTTTTGGTCTTTGTAATTTATTGATTTTATGTCTTTGGTCTTCGTAGTTTCAATTTGTCAATTTAATCCTTATAGTTTTGAATCCGAGCAATTCTATTTTGTCAAATTATGTCAAGGGCTGATCCAACAGTTTCCCTGTGAATTTCTGTTGCCAAAATTGGCTAGTCGATTCCTATTAACAGCAATAGAAATTAGAATGGAGCATGTCATACTTTTCCTTTTCCTCACAGCTCGAAATCCAATCACAACAAATTTTCGGTGTTAATTACTATATCCGCAGCTTATGTCTAACTCAGGTACTGACGGCCTTAATTTCAAAATATAAAAATGTTGAATTTGAAAATGGAGAATAGTAATCATTAAGCGTATACGTTTATTAGTTATTACAAAATTTGGAGATATCTTTTTCCTCTCATAAATTCAATTCCAAGAAATTCTAATACTTACAAGTAATGGTTATGGAATGAAATTGATTATAATAAGAAATGGGAAGTCGGGAATTGGAATTATTCTAATACCTATGTGTTATTAAATACAAGACTGTGATCAATTAGGAGGGATAGTTGATGCCATTCTTATTAATTGTTCATCCTATTCCCTTACTTAACATACGAAGAATTTGGGTTCAAAAAAAAGTCCTACCAATTAGGCCTAACTTATAGACCGCGAAGTTATGCCCAAAAGAGTCAGATAATGCATGCACAACAAAGTTACGTCATACAATGCGACTAGCCACAATAAGGTATCAAATTCATCACAAATATATCATTCTCGCAATAATGTGAGTCGAACTTTAGACATCCTCCAATTAAATAGAGACAATTACAACTAGACCAAAAGCTAGATTTCCTTCCTTTTTTTCTTTTTTCAAGAATGGAATTATGGAAGGCCATTAAGTCATGTCCACCGCACATCTATTAGCGGGAAAAACACATACCTTATTTAACTAACAACCCAACAAGACTCGTTCCTTGCCACCCAAAACCTATATCTCTCTCTTCTCCCTCAACCTAACTTGGTGCACATTTGCATCTGCACCTGCAACCCTCGCCAACACTGCCGGTGCAGTGTGTACCTCCTCCTCCCCAGCGCAGCACACATATACCGAATTTGATATAATATCTTCAAGAAAACCAAAAAAGAAAATGTATCCACCCGCGCCATACTATGCTCCACCTCCACCAGCGTATTACGCACCGCCACTAATGCCGCCACCTCCAAAGCGGTACTCTCCGTGGCTGGTGCCGCTTATCTTTTTGGTGAATCTCGGGTTGTTCATATGGATCATGTATGAGAATAATTGCCCGTCTAGAATTTCAAAGGATCAATGCATGTTAGGCCAGTATTTGGATAGGTTCTCTTTCCAACCCTGGAAAGATAACCGCATGGTTGGTCCTACCCCTGAAACGTAAGGACACACTCTCTCTCTCTCTCTCAATGTTTTCATTTGTTTATTTCTGTTCTCTTATTTTTCTATTTATGCTAATGGGATTACAAAACTTGTTATGAGGGTAATTAATGTGACGAAATTGAGATGGGTTTTGCAAATGTTAGAGAACAATTATTTCCATGTAATTTGTCCTTTTCTTTTGGGAGGGGGAGGTGGAGGTTAAAAACCATAACCTATGAATTTCGATTACAATTAGGGGAAAGTAATTGATCTCAAGGACCTAAAGATTATTTCAAGTTATAATTGGAATTGGGTGAAAAGTTAGACAAAAGAAGGTAGCTAGGCTAATTGATTTGATAACCTATATGATATCCATCACTTAGGTTGTGATTGGAAGTGAAAGGATATCCATCACTTAAGTTGTGATTTTATAACCAACTTCAACAAAACTTTCTAGAGTGAGGAAAAATGGAAAAGCAATACAAATTTAGCAACCATCCCTAATTCTCTCTCTCTCTCTCTCTCTCTCTCTCGTCTGTTCCCTAATTCTCAATTAGCCCATCTTTAATTAAGCTTCTACTAATTACTGACTGTACAAAACCTTAATCTATTTGCAGACTTCAAAGACTAGGAGGCCTTGATAGAAAACTAGTTGTGGATGGTGAACCATGGCGCCTTTTGTCCTCCATGTGGCTACATGCCGGGCTGATTCATCTGTTTGCCAACATGCTCAGCCTTGATTTTGTAGGACTTCGGCTTGAGCGGGACTTTGGATTTCGTAAGAAATTAACATTCATGATATAAATATATATACATTTTCTATGTTAAGGATGTTCTAAATTTAAGAAAAGTGCACACATCTCTCCTAGGGTAATCCAACAATGTAATTCAATGATTGAAACCGTCTATGTTTTAGGTTATCTTTAAAGGATTATCCTTTAAAAAAATCGTCCGATCTTGGTTTAGCCCTTGAATAGGATGTTTACAATTCAAGTAGTCAATTTTACATGATGAATGCTTAGCTAACTGTTGTGTGAACTGTTTGGATTTGGCAGACAGATTCGTATTCGTGTATGTGCTAGCTGGGTTAGGTGGAAATTTAGCGTCTTGCCTTAATATTATCAAACACGACTGGTCAAGCAAGACTATATCAGTTGGCGCATCTGGGGCAATTTTTGGATTGTTGGGAGCTTCCCTTTCTGAGCTCATCACAAACTGGACAGTCTATGACGATAAGGTAACGCCTCTTTTCTCTTTAGTTATTCCCCTTCTTTTCTGTAACTCTTAACTGGCAAATAAAAGTTGACATAAACTCTAAGCTCAAAGTGCTGATATTGTGTTTGTATCCAAAACTACGTGGTTTCCTATTCGGGTTTTCCTTTAATTTCTTTTCAATATAAACTCTAAGCCCAGAGTGCTTAACCTAAATTTGGACAGAAGCACAATGTCACAAGAGCATAAGCAGAAGTCCTATTTCCCAACAGTTAAAAGTTCGGACTGCTTATAGTTTCTGTTCTGATATTGTGTTCATATCCAAAACTAAGTCGCTCTACACTTCCATTTAATTAGCTTTTCAATGCAAACTCAAAAGCCAGAATGCTTAACCTTAAATTCCAACACAACTACAATATCATCACAGGAACATAAGCAGAGATCCTATTTCCCAGACCTAATCCAACCTCTTAATTTTCCTATTCAGTGCTCAACAATCATGATACTCATCCTCAATGCTGCCCTCAACTTGGCTATTGGGTTTCTACTTAAGATGGACAACTCAGGTCATGTAGGAGGACTCGTCACCGGATTTTTCCTCGGTTTTGTTCTTTTTGTGAAGCCTCAGTTTGGATATGTAAGCAGCAAGTACATTCCATCATACCATCAAGTCAAACGTACAGCAAGGCACAACTTCTGTCAATATTTTCTAGGGCTCCTTGCTTTGGTCGTGTTGGTTATTCTGTAAGTTACTAATTTCATTTTCTCTTTCGACAATCTGTTCAAGGTTAACCATTGAAAATTAGCTATCTAGTCTCTGATTTTTAAAAAAAAATTCTTAATTTGCAGGTATGGAGTTGGCTTTGGTAAGCTATTCAACATAAAGGAGATTAAAGAGCATCTGCCTGACAGCGTCAAAAACTATTGAGCTTGTATAGGTTTTGGGTAATGAACAAACCATAGTTTCTTGACGGTTCAACTGCATGTTCTTGAAGAATTGCAAGTATAACACAACAAAATATATACTTGCTTATGAACGCAAATCATATGTATGAACCGCATGCATATGTATCGTTGATGTATATAAATACCTGCCAATGTTCATATGTAAGTGTACATGAGAGAGATGATTGTGGGGATTTAAGAGAGGTCAGTATTTTGTGGATTGTGAGAGAGATGCTCAGATGAGTATTTCATAATTTTAGTAATCACAACAATTATTTAGCGATCTTCTTTTGGTTTCAGAATTTTTTCTGCATTTTTCGGACTAAGCAACCCGAGCATTTTTCACAGAAATTTTATTAGATAATGATGAAGTCGATTTCATTCCATTTTAATGAAAGCAAAACTTAGGCTACAAAACAAAATTCATGATGTCTGCAGTTGCCAATATGCATACCCTTTAGTATGGCAAGATTCGTATGTGCTAGTGAAAAATGTGCGGCGGTCATCATGATGTACGAATCTCAGGAGGAACCTACAACCATCCTGAAGAAAGAAAGAAAAAAAAATTGTAACTAGTGTACGATCTATTGCATCTTGCATCGATTCCAAGATACCCTTGAGTATGGCCTTAATTTCACATGACCAAGACACCCGATTTGACAAACACTTGGGGCATCTTGGCTTCACTGTGATATATATCATTTAAATCCCCATAATCAATATACATCCTTATTTTCTAACTAAAACAACTGGAGATGAAAAGGGTCTATTGCTGGTAGGCTGACTGCCAGGTGCCGGCACACAACATGCGTCATCATCACGACTCGACTTCTGTTCAGAGGTAAACCTTTGTGTTTGGTGAAAGACGATCAGAGTGTGACTGCAAAGAGAATGAGTAACAGACCGAGTAAAAATGATGAACTGTATTGATTATCACAAATGCCCTGTTTGCTGACAACATAATCACCAATACAACTAAGGCATGAAGCCAATCCTAACCGCCTAACCAGAAACTCCTATCAAATCCTAACACACTTATGTTGAGTCAGCTTCCTTATCATTTGGAACAAGTCATCATAGCTGGCAATCAACTGGTCAAAGTCAGTGGTTTGAGAATATGAAAATTTGTGGTAGAAGGCTGTGGCTGATATGCCAAGTCCTGTAACAAATACTAAACTATATCCAGGTTCGTTTTGCTGGCACAATTTCTCCATGTAACAAGAATCTACAATGGGATAAGTTAGAGCGGTTGAGCACCAAGTACCACATCATAGCGATTCTTGGATGTAATTTTTAGCAAAAACCAATCGAACCGATCCAATTATCGTTAAGTATCATAAAATTAGCACTTGGAAATTTTAAGTTTTAGTATGAAACAAGCTTATTTGTACATTTAAAAAAAAATATAAAATCTGAGAGAAACCGATGGAAACCACATTTCAATATGGATTGGTTTTTAACTTTTCATGAAAAATTAATTGAAAGCTGTTCAGAGGCATCATGCAGCATGGTCATTAATCATTCAGCTTCCTCTACGTAGCTAAAGTCAAACGTATTGTTTACTAACCCCAACCATTTTTTTTAATTTTCTCCCTTTTTTGTTACTTGTTCTGTTTGTTTTTTTCGTTGAAGAATGGAAGGTTATAACATAAAAGGGGCATAAAGTAATTTCCTCACATCTATTATCGGGGTGAGTTGCCAAACTTATCTACCACCCTAGCCAAACTTGATCCTTGCCACCCAAAGCCAAATATTTTTCTCTCGTCTATCTCTCCTCCTTGTAACTTGGTGGTGCACATTAGCATCTGCCACCGCAGCCAATAGTGCCGGTGCAGTGTGCACCCCTTCGCCTTCCTCCCCGTGGCTGAAATGGGGAAGAGACCGCCATCCTCTGAAGACATGGAGAAGGGACGTGAAAAGGCTCGACCTTCCATGCCTCCGCCACACTTATGCCCCCCACCACCAAAGCCATGGGTGCCGTGGCTTGTGCCGATCATATTTGTGGCCAATGTAGCCGTGTTCATTTACACCATGTACGTCAATGACTGTCCATCAATCAACGAGAACAAGTGTATTCTTCCTTCTTTGAAGAGGTTCTCTTTCCAACCCTTCAAAGAAAACCCTCTCCTTGGTCCTGCCGGACTCACGTAAGAATTTCCTCTCTCTCTCTCTCTCTCTCTCTCTCTCTCTCTCTCTCTCTCTCTATGATTTCTATTTTCAGTTTATTTTCTTGTTTCGCAATAGAATTTATGAGGCTAATCTTTTCGTTAAATGTGTTTCATAATCCTTACCATTTTCTCTTCTCTCTTTTTTTATTTTTATTTTTATTTTTTTATTGTGGATGGTGGAGGTTTAAAATTAATAATCAACTGAGGTACGAGAGTGGAAAACAAACAAACCATTTGTATGGAGTTTGATTATGAATAAAGCATAACTCATTTGAGCAACCTACAAAATTGAAGGCGTATGGAAAATTAGAGCAACCTATAGAGTCGGCCTGTTGGCTAGCATTGTTAGAGGCTTGAGACTTGCTCAGAACATGAACATGCCATTCAATACTCTGTTTGGTTCTGTACATTCATATACTTCCGTCTGTGCAATCTCTTCGAATTTGAAAGAAAAAGAAGAATTTTCTTACTCAAAAAGGGCTAGTTCCAATTAATATTTGGATTCTTATGTCTTACTTAAGTAACCTAATCTCTCTAGCATAGTGTCACATTCTCCCTTCTAGGTCTTGGCAACTTCACTGCCCATGATTCTATGCCACCCCAAAATGTAGGGACAGTGGATTTCAGCAGCCCGAGTCAAACACGGGAAATCTATCCGGTTGCACTGCCAATTTAGAAATCATTCCTAGAGCAACTAGGCCAACTCTAAGCTACAACTTATTGCACATAGTCAGCATGCTCAATACATGAAAAACCTTGATCTAATTGCTACTGTTTGCAGTCTAAAAAAACTAGGAGCCCTTGAACGACAACGAGTGGTGGAAGAGGGCGAAGGATGGCGCCTCTTGTCTTGCATGTGGCTTCATGCGGGAGTCGTTCACTTACTTGCCAATATGCTGAGCCTTTTATTCATAGGAATCCGGCTTGAGCAGGAATTTGGATTTAGTAAGAACTTAAGATTCAGGGGATTTTAACTCAGTTTTTACATGATCAGTGCATGCTAACCATTCTCCACTGTTTAAATTTGGCAGTCAGAATAGGACTCTTGTATGTGCTTGCGGGATTAGGTGGAAGTTTAGGATCGACTATGCATCTTATGAGAACCACAAGCCCGACTATATCAGTTGGTGCATCCGGAGCACTTTTTGGATTGTTGGGAGCCATGCTTTCTGAGCTTCTAATAAACTGGACAATCTACGTAAATAAGGTAACCTTTCTTTTCTCCTTCTCTGGCTTTCAATCACTCTTAACTGGTAAGTCAAAGAACCCACAACTATGCCCGTGAACCGCCATCAAATACTATCAATATGACCTCTAACATGTATGTGGCACTCACTGTTATATTGTAAGATCACATGTATGTTGTGCGAGGTACACCATATATGGCAAGCTCATACAAATTTTAAGCACAACTATAATTATAAGCACAGATCTATGAGGGATGCATCTAAGATCTAACTTTGCTATTCAGTGCACAGCGCTCCTGATACTCATTGTCGTCATTGCCCTGAATATGGCTGTCGGGTTTCTACCTAAAGTGGACAATTCAGCTCATATAGGAGGATTCCTTGCAGGATTTTTCCTTGGCTTTATTATTCTTGTTCGTCCTCAATACGGTTATATACGCCGTAAGCATCTTCCATCAACCTATGATGGCAAACATAAACCTAGGCACAAGGGCTATCAATATGTGCTAGGGATCGGTGCTCTTGTTATCTTAATTCTTGGGTAAGTTTATTTCCTTTAGGCAATTTACTGAATACCAATGAAAATTAATCAACCTCCAGTCTCTGATTAAGTTTTATGTTTTTTCATTCATTGCAGATACACATATGGCTTTGGTAAGCTATATGGTCTTAAGGCACTGAAAAATCTGCCTTAAGTTCTAGAAATCAAATGAATATTCTTGAGAACTCAACTGCCTACTCAAGAATTTCAGGTAAAACACCACCTCCTCTACAAGACCCCAAAAAGAAAAAGAAAAACAGAACACACCACAAATTATACTTCCTTATATCAGAAAAGGCTGAAACACATGCATATCTAAAGTGAATCTAACTTTACTGCTGACGTATGGATATATATTTGTGAATGTTCAGATGTTGTAAATGTATGTATATGTACGCTATGCATATATCTTGAAAACCAGACAACTAGAAGCTACTACAGATTTGAATACAGTTTGACATATGCTATATTCAAGTTACAGTGCTCCAACAGATATAGGAAATTAAGCTACATGAATGATCACTTTATACTAAGTTTGGCTTGAACACTGTTTCAGTATTATTTATTTGAATTCCGCAATTAGCAAAAGTTGTTGATAAATAATTTTTTATTCTTTCTTATCTGTAAAGAGTTCATATTCTCTTTAACGAGATGGTTGCTTACACCGATCATGCCAATGACAAGCGAAATATGAAATTAGTAAATTATGAAATTTCCGTTGCTAATGGTCCTTGATTGAATTTCCTTTTGTTTTCGTCTGAGAATGAGCATAATGAGTTTAACACTAAACTTCAAGATGGTAAACAGGGCTGTGAGAAAGACGTAAATACCTACATGGTATCACCCCAAATATACTCAAAACATACTTGCGGGTGTGCATGCACACTCACTTGACCACAAAAAACAGGACCGACAAAGAGATTTTAGCACGGGAGAGGAACAGAGTATAAGCAAAGACAGCAGGGAGTCTTCTAGGATAAGGAGGAGTAGATGAAGACAATGCTATGTTTTAGTCAAGGTAGCAATGTAGATGAGTTCTGTAATTTCTATTTCAGAATTTTTCTGCATTTTGATTAAACACCCCAAGCATTGTTGATGGAAGATGATTTAGTCTCCCAATTCACATGCACACTGTACTTCTAGATGTCTTGTTAAAATTAAACTATATAGTAATCAACTTGAGAATGTCAATTAGACAACTCTGAAGGAAATTTTATTCTATTTAATGAAAGCAAAACTTAGCTTACAAAATCAAAATTCATCAGATCCGCACTTGACAATATACATACCTTTAGTAGGAAAATTAAGTATTCTATTGCCTATAGCTCACATGCGTCTGAGCGACCAAAAATTGTGTAACGGTTGTTTGCAACATTGTCATATAGAAAATCCCGTATGAAACTGCATTCGTCAAGAAGAAATAAAGTCATGGAAACAGTTTATCATCGATTGCTTCTTTCATCAGTTTTAAATCTTAGCATACAAAAAATATAAAATAAGAAACAGGGAAGGACTTACAGAGGTACAAACTGTAGAAAGAATGCTAGCTGGGGGAAGGGTAAGTCTATGTATTCCATTATCTTCACAACAGCTTCTGACTTGACGAAGGATCTAAAATTCACCATGTCAGCTCTCATTTTTATTCATATAATCCCTTTATAAGATATATCTGCTACATTCTAAGTTATTTAAGATTAAAAAAATGTACGCGGTTGGAAGCATCAAACCGAGAAAGTGTTTCACTGAAAATAAAATACGTTAAGTGAGAAATGACAACTATTTAGATGGAATTTAAAGTCGGAATCATTTATCATAAAGTTAACTTGAAGATGGTAAACTTAACTTAGGCAGACTATGTTCGTAGCTTATTAGAAACTGCTCTTAATAAACACAAAAGTCATTGTAAATACCTATCCTGTTCAACAAAAACAACACTTGAAATATCATCCGGAGCTCTTCCGGACCTTCTTAGCAGTTTCTTCCCTGCTTCACTCTGGAGAGCTTCAAACCTTATTCTCCTGTCAGTGGTGGGTTAAACAAGAATAAGAAAACTGAAGATAAACCTCATAAGACACCAAAACATTTGCAGTCATGAAACATATGGATGACATATATCATAATTAGAGTCTACAAAAGATCAAAGGAGGAGGAGAATCGAACCTATTTCGATCATTATCACGCACGAACTTCACACCTCCATTACATAAGTTACAAACACCTGTAAAACAAAGATTAAGAAACGAAAATCGGCAATCATGTGATGAAGTTTAACCAAGTCCACATTGACCAATTGAACTTAACTCTTAACACATTTTCGTTTAGAACATACAAAGGACCATAAGAAGCATAGATAGATACACATAAACCACTAAAAACCACAAAACAAAATCATCTTACAAATCAAATGTGTAAAAATATCTATAGTCTTTATTTTCCATTTTTACTTATTTTAAAGATGGCTTATAACGTATCAAATTAGGTTGCCTTTTAATGCAAAAATATCACTTTTTTAGGTGCATCATTCAACAACACAGAGAAATTATTTGTCCATAAAATGAAAAAACCAAACAACCCATAATATTAAAAGGGTTCTATTTACACCAAGCGCATGATAACATAACAATAAGATTATGTGCTAAAATGAACTGCTTTACCGTCAAATAACATGATGGGCCTCGTGTCATTTTCAAAGAAGCCTGAAGTTGCTTCGACCCAGTCCACTCTATCTCCTCGGGTTGGGGATACGGTAGCAAACGTAGTTAGCCTTCGTCTAACGTGCGCCGGCCGTGACAAGCTTACTCGTACGCACCCACCAGGAACAAGAAGCGCCATGAAAGCCATTGGAAGCGAAGGAATTCAGACCCAAAAATATAAAAACACAAGGAAATTGTGAAATATGTTAGTGTATGAATTATTTTGACCTTGAAGAGGTGAGGTAATTACATGAAGTACCCTTTTGGCTAGAATGAGTTTTGTGTGTGTTGGGGATGTGAGAATGGCTTCTCTGTGATAGGAGGGAAAGTTATGGGGTACAAGGGTAAATGGACGCTCAATTTTACAAAGTAGTTTTACGTGGCTTCACATTTGGGGTACCACGTGGAAGTTCACATACCATTGACATTGAGCTCTTGTGTTTTTTTTTTTTTTTTTTTTTTTTTTTTTTTTTGGGGTCAAATTGAGCTCTTGTGTTAGATTTTTGTTTGTTGACGAGAGCAAAGCTTTGGAAGTTGACGTGGAACTTTGGTCAACGGAATGGAGCTGGTAACTATAGTTTGACTCAAAATCTCATTTGGTGATTGCGCTTTTTAATTTTGCAATTTTGATCATTTTTTGTCTGATTTTATTAGAAATATAATTTATGACTTCTGCTAATTGAATTTGTTATCTCCCCCGTTATGTCAAACTATAATATCAACATGAAACGACAAGCATTGCAGGAGAAAATTGATTCAATCAAGTATGATAGTTGACATCTCAAATTGTGCTAAAAAATTTACAGTGTTAAATTGCTACTTAAGTCGTCGAATTCAAATTTAACATTTAACATTTCACATTTCCCTCGAAAACGATTACAACATAAAAACATTTCATAGATAGGTTGAGTGAATAATTGGGTCAAAATATAAAGCTCGCCTTTTATTTAATCAATTACCAAGAAGATAATATTTTCAACAATACCGACCGTGTATCAATATGGGAATTTGGTACTCAGAGTCAGCCTACACGCATTTATTCATTCATCACTCTTGACAGACACTAATTTATATCCCAAGACATGCAAAGTCCACTCCTCTGAAAAAAAACAAGCAAAAAGCTTTGAGTAGTTGTGAGTTGAATTCCTGACAATTGAGTTGATTGGGCAAAGAGTTCATTAATTGGCTACCCTCTTCTATTATCTACCTCATGTACTCACCATCAAATCAAATAAAAACTCTCCCCCTGCTTTTCTAGCTGAGAACTGAGGACAAAACACAATGCTAAAGCTTTGAAACACAGCTTGAAGCTTTTCAACTTCAAAAATGGCTTCTTTACACCGGAAAATTCATAACCGGCCAACATTTTCCACTAACACTCCCCATTTCTTAAAGATTATCTCGAAGGGTACTTGTAGACAGAGCAAATTTGTGAGCACCTCTCTCTCTCTCTCTCTCTCTCTCAATGTAGCTACTTTGCTCTTACATAGCTAGCTAGAGCCATTCACGCATAATGAGGAAGTTGTTTCCACAGATAGGCGTCCGTAGTTTCCTTCTGATTATGTTTTTGCTGAGATATAATGGTGTTTGCTCATGGTTGGTGTTTCCTAATTAACTGTTTTATGCCATGGAAACCTGTTATAATTTAGATATGATATGCATGTACTCATAGCTAAATGTCAGTGCTTAATTCTAGAGACTTTTATAGTACCTCTGGGACTTTGCCATCAGATTAAACCGAGTAAACACAGCTTTGTTCCATAAACTGGAGAAAAATCTTTGAAACACATTTGAAGTTCAACAATGGCTGCTTTTCCGCACGAAATTGATGACTCACCAACATTTTCTGCTACTGTTTATATGGCTAGTGTTTTTTTCTCTTCTCTACGGCTAGTATTCATAATACATGTGTGTGCTGCTGCTTGAAGTGAAAAGCGAGAAATGAATCTACATTGATGTGGTAGTGAATTTTTATTTTTATTTTTATTTTTATTTTTTTGATGCAGTAGCTATATGCTATATAGTTATTGAATCACTCATTTCTTAGCCGCAAAAGTATGGGATAATGTTTTTCACTTTATGATCTGTTACTTGACTGACACGTACTATGTTGCACAGAGGATTCCGAATAAGTTTTTGATGAAATATGGATATGATTTATCAAATCCAGTATTTCTCAAGCTTCCAAGTGGTTCAGAATGGAAAATTGAACTCAGAAGATGGGAAGACAAGGCCTGGTTGGACAAGGGTTGGCCAAAGTTCTCTAAGTTTTACTCTCTGGACTACTGTCACTCGTTAGTTTTTGGCTATGAAGGGAAGTCCAAATTCTGCGTTCGCATATTTGACCGAAACTTCACAGAGATTGCCTATCCATTAACAACGCCCGAGATGAAAGACACTGATGAAGTTGATGATTCTGAATCTGAATATGATGATGATTTTAGTGATGATTCTGAATCTGATTTTAGTGATGATTCTGTTGAAATCTTGGACAAATTTCTACCCCGCTCAAGAAAATCAAGTTCAAGTGGTATTAAAACAGAAACCAACATCAACTTCCACAATGCGGCTCCACATCTTAACTAGACCAAGAAAACACTCAACCTTATGAAATGATGCTTGAGAAGTCAATTATAACTAAGAATTCTCATCTGTTGAAATCAGACATGAAAATTACAGCATATGTGTTTTGCTTTTTATCTTCAACTTTATTGCGTTTTCTCCCATTCTGTTCTAACTTGTAATATCCTATTATTTTCTTTAACAGGAAAATCTGAGTTTCCTGCCAAAAGACATTGTGGTGGCACGTCTACCACTCGAAGATTCATAAAACGGACTAGAAGGGCAAAAGTTATAGCTCTTCAGAGAGCTAAGGCTTTCAAATCTGACAAACCTTCTTTCATAGTTCCCATGACACGATCTTATACCAATCGATCTTTTGTGGTAAGCTTTCAATAGACAACCGTGCTTGCCATCACAACTTCTGTTAACTTGTATTTATAGATCATACAGTAAGAAAAAGAACTAAGCAACTGTACTTCCACAGAGCACAATCATGGTACTCTCTCTTCAACATTTTCTTATTGTCTTTTTCTTGTTTTCCATTTAATTATTTTCAGTGGTTGCCATCCAATTTTTCCTTCCATATGACACATCTTAGTAACAATTCTGGCAACGTTATGTTTCGGGTTTTGGATGGGAGAACTTGGTCTCTTGGATTGAAATGTGAAAGGGCAAAACCAAAAGCCAGATTCCAGTCTGGTTGGTTTAAATTTGCGCGAGACAATGATTTGAAAAGTGGTGATGTGTGTGTCTTTGTGTTGGTTGACGACATTAGACTTACTTTTGAAGTTGTCATTTTCCGTGCCATAGAAGCTGCAAACACCTTGTCACCGGGTAAGTTGTCTTTCAATTTTTGAACTAATTCAATCGAAGCACCACAGAGATTAACTATCTGTCTGTCACCTTCATCTCTCTTTTTTATATGCCTACAGATGTTGATGGGGAACAAACAATGTCCGAGATGGAAGAAACTGATGAAGATTATGATTCTGTTGAACTCTTGGACTATTTTCCACCATGCCCGAAAACAAGGAAGAAATCTCCAACAGCACCACAGCCTAGCAAGAAAAACAGAACATGTTCGATTAGTACAGCAGAAAATAACATCAGAAGTGTTGGTGGCTCGTCTAGGAGTCAAAAATTCCTAAAACGAAGACCTCAGGTTCCTAGGATGATGAATCCAGTTACGGAAAGCGGAACAGATAGAGCTCTTCAGAGATCAAAGGCTTTCAGATCAGAATACCCTTCTTCCACGGTTGTTATGCATCCCTCATATATCCGTGCAGGTTATTTGGTAAGCTTTCTATAGAGACATTATGCACAACTTCTGCTAACTTCTATCTGCGTATGTCAGTGTGAAAATAATAGCTAGCAAATTACATCATAAACGCTCCAAAATTCTCAGTTTTAACCTGCTTCTTTTTCTCCTTTCAGCATATAGGAGCCAAGTTCATCAAGGAACATCTTCTTAACCGGGGTCATGAGAATGCCATCCTTCGTGTTTCGGATGGAAGAACTTGGCCTGTCTCATTAGGCAAACAAGGCAAAGGTATAGTCAGATTTCAGACTGGTTGGATGAAATTTGTGCAAGACAATCAGTTGGAAATCGGAGATGTGTGTGTCTTTGTGTTGACTAATGCCATCAAACGTTTAATTGATGTTGTCCTTTTCCGCGCTACAGAAGCCGCAAAGTGCACCTTGTCAGGTGAGTTATCTATTGGTTAATTTGTGAATTTGTGCTCCATTAGGGCCGTTCTGCTTAACACATGTGTTATCCTTCCCTCTTTTTGTTTTAGGGGAAGGCAATCGACGTCCGACGATCAGTTCAAGTCAAAAAATTAAAAGAGAAGCCTGATGGATGAAGCAATGGAAGCTGAATATTTTGTTATGAATCCACTAGTACTACCGAGTCCTATCTGAATATTGAAGGCAGAGGACGCCTGAAAATTTAAAGATGTTCTAACATAAGAACTGATATTACCAATATATGCTTATATATTTGTCTTCCATTGTTGTTTTGATTACCTTAGAAAAGGGAACAATCTAAGAATCTCTTTTGTTGTTTTGAATTTCAACTTCATCTTGAACAGTTCATTTTGAAAGGCATGAATCTAGGAGGTCTCTACATGACTGCAGCAGAGTTGAATGATGATGAAGTATACTCGTGCGGTTCAATTCACTCCTCCAATATTGCTTGTATTAAAAAAAAAAAGCACTATCATAATATATCATATCTTTTGGTTTTCAAACTAATGATGGGTTTCAAACTAATGGCTTGATAAATTAAATGGGTAGGAAGAGAAGAGACAAAGCAGAAGTTATGTAATTAATACTTCTGTATAAAATTGACAAAATATTAGTACTTCTCGTTTCACTGATTCAGAACCACAACCAACTAGTAGAGCTTTACTTACTAAAAGAAGACTATGAACTTGCCATGAACTTGATTACTCTCTGAATTTTTGTATTGATGGAGTTTCTTTACCTTTTCATGTGCTCTAAACACAAATGGGAAGTTGTTAATGTACATCAAATTCACTCAGACAATGAAGGGTTTAGTCACTGATCTTTCGGCAAGATAACATGGAACTTATCTCTATCTATTTGGAA